AATGTATATTCGTCATAGTTGACTAGACATTCCTCGCTTCACGTCGCGGGACTATTATCTGGATTTTAATGTTTGGAGCAACAGGTTTGAAGGGTGCGTATACGTAGGGCAAGAGAAGGAATAGTATGATAGGGGTTGTCTATGTTTCCAAAACACCTCGAAAAGCACAAGAATGACATAAATGATTGAGTGCCAAGAGAACGCCTGCGCTGGCCAGAATCTTATAACCAGGTGGCGCGCTTATACAGTGCCTGCTTGTTTCTGGATTCTCTACCACATTTATCCCTGAATCAGTTCTGAACCGGCGCTCGCTCAGCACCCCATGTTTCGCTTCACCCCCTGACCGCGCGCGGAGTTCGTGCTCTCGAAACTTTTCCCGACAACATGAACTTTTTGAAAAACTGTTGAAATTACTGTATAATAGGCAGTGCATTCACATATTACTTGCTGTATCTGTAGTCAGGAAAACAAAATGTTGAATTTATATTTGAAAAACGTGATATTGACTTTGCTGTTTCTAAACTTCTCTTCTGGCCACATTTTTCCCAAAGACCTTCAAATAAGACATCAGCGTGCCCGTCTTATCAGAAATCGACGCCACGGTAACCACTTTATGAAAATGCAAAAACTTTCGTCTGATTTCGAAAATATCGCTCACGTAAACAAATATGAAACAGATAATTCGGATATCATCGACAACACCACCATAATGATAGCTGACGACCAACTCATTGTTAAATTGCCTTCCAAGAGTCCCAGCGAGCGTAAGAACAATAAAGAGATGTCTTCAAAGAGATCAGATGGGACCATAAATACGAAAGTAAACGTGAATGCCGCAATACATTCAAATAACAGCTGGAATCAGATTGACAAAACTGTCTTGTACATGGGAGAAAAGCGTATTCTTAATAGAATTGATAGCAATGAGAATGGAACAGCATCGGAGATGTTGCAGAATACAAAGGACATAAACAAATCCCAAGAAAATCATTCGGGGGAAAAGTCATCGAGAAGGGCTGAAAGTGGCCGTAGTGGTCAGGCAGACATCGTTACCCGTTTTTTACGCATCGTGGAATCCCAGCATTTGTTGGGAGAGAATTGTACGGCCGGTACGGACTTAAACTTGGGGGAAGGGGTGGTAGACCGATACGCTCAAGAAAGATTTCGCGTGGAAGCAGACAACTGTGTTAACAGGGCAAATATGTTGACCCGAATCTGGAAATACACGGACCCAAAGACACTCTTATCGGAAGAATTGCTCTACTCAATGGTTTACTCTCTAGTCGAATTCAATGACGTCATTTTTGGCGGAGGAAACTGTTACGCCGAACATCAATATAAGGACCATTTGCTCTTTTGCCCGTTTGCTTATCGTCTACCCGAGGGTAAAATCTTAGTGAAAGATTTATCAGTTGAATATGACTATCTCGGCAATACATCTGAATGGTTCTACATTGCTCGAAAAAATGCTGAAAGGGTAATCAAAGAAAATGAACAGTATATTTATGGTAAGTTTATTGTTTTCATTGCAAGAGAGATAAATTATTGAAAACCCCTTGAAAATCTCAGTATTTCACAATTTTTCACCTGAATTTATGAAATGCACACTCTTATCAAAATGAAAATTGGAAAAAACAATACGTGCCCAATTTTTATCAAATGACAGTTTTGTAATGCAACCAAGTGTTTATTACCAGAATCCCTCGTTATCATATTGATATACGTCTTCAGAAGTACAAATTTCGTTTACGACTTTTCTTGTACTTTGGTGAGGCAAATTCCATGTTAATTGAATCAACCAACTCTTTTCTTTGGAAGTAGTCGGAAACTGCCTTGACTTATATATTTATTCTGTATTTTTTATATATTTTGAAACTACGAACTTTTTGAAGCGAGAACAGAATTATCATAACCATTTGTATGATGCCAACCATATGAAAAATTCAACTTTGCTTGGCTTGTTTCAAAAAAATTCTCCTTGACCCAAATAATATAACAACGATATGTTGAAAATTCAATTCACGTGATAACTACATCCGCTTCAAAGTTTTATCCGTTTGGAACCGCGAATATCTCATTCATATTTCACTTATTTATGTAGAGAATGAATGGCTGTAGATAAAACTGAAAACATTTCAAGCGTAACATCCTAAAATAATAATAGGTCTGTAGTTTTCTCTGCAAAAAACTGTCCGTGGATCATTCAATCAACACTTGATAGTATATTCTATGATACAGTTGTTGTAGAAGAGGATATTTTTGGTATACTCACGGGTTGACGGCTTGATAATTTTAACCATACACAGAACTTATTCGACGAAACCACGGGAAAGAAATATTCTCATATCACAACAAATCAAACGTTTTTTATTGCATACATTTAGTGGATGTGATACTACACCCGTTTTTTAAGTGAAGGCAAGAAACATTTTTGGAGTTTTTAAAACATTCATTTTCAACTAACCTAGTGAATATTATTTTCTGACGAGGGTTATATTTCTATTCTCAACTGTACACAAACGCAAAAAATTGGAAGAGCGTATAAAGTGTTTCCAGAAATATACTCGAGAGGAGTTGATTTGAATTATTGTTAAGTCATTTGCAAGCAATCGTACATTCAAATCACCCGTATTTATAATAATCAACTGTAATTTTTGCTGATTTCATCATTCAGGGTACAATTATCAAATCGTTATAACTATGAAAACTATACAGATAGAGAAAGCAGCAAAATGGCATATTCAAACTAGAAAATGAATATTTCGAAATGAAATCTCGAAATATTCATTCCTCTCAACTACCTACACCAAGTATCTGGCGAATTCCTGCCAGAAAACAACTACTTCCCCAGCTAATACCACGCTGGATGTAGAAATATATCCGACAAACACGCATGCAAAATAACTCACAGAGTTTTGTCTCGCAGATGTTTTCCGTTCATTCAGCAGCAGGATCATACCGAAGTTATTCGAGTAGATCACCAACAGACCGGTTTTGAAGTATTACCTCCCATCAGTGCAGGAAAGTTTCAACCCCAACAGCAAAGTGCCTGGGACACGATTCATTTCAACGTAGCGCAACTGCATATATGAAACCTTCGCCTTAGAGAAAGATTGTAACTAGTAACTGGAATTGCAAAGGAATTGCTACTTCTCAAAAGCTTGAAACACTGTTCCGAACCAGAAAACCGTACACACCCCAGCAACTTTTGCATACCCTGAAGCTGCTGGATTCCATCCAGAAAAGAGCCGTCCGCCTGATTGGAGACGCGAACATCATGTGCAACCTTGATAGTCTGGAACTACGAAGAATGGTTGGAGATTTGTCTCCTTCTATAGATACTTTCACGGGTTGTATTCAAGTGACTTTTCCAATTGAAGAATTGCGTTTATGTGAAAATAACTTCCTGACAACATTTTGCCAAATGAATTCAAGTCTAACGTGAATCGCTACTTTCGCATAGGCACCGCTCTTAGAGAGCCTTAAGAATTTTATCGTAGTGCTTGTGTTTTGTCCTTGAAAAAACAGCTTCATCTCGTGAAAAAAGCCCCAAGCGGGGAAGAAACATCCTGTACCAAAACTCTAACATAGATAAAAACTTTTCTGAAGACTGTATCAAGGAGAGATACATACGTAGGTACTAGGAAATGAATATTTCGAAATAAAATCTCAAAATATTCATCTTCCACAACTACCTACTCCTTAAGTTCTGGTAAATGCCTGCCGGAAAACAATTATTATCGGCAATCCACCTATCATAAAATAATTGATCGAGTAATACGCCTACGGTCACGCAATTATGAGGCGGTGCTTCATTCTGTTGATACCAAATATTTTTCGCAACTTCAATTGATAAATTATTCACTGCAACTTTCACAACATTTTGTAGTATGATCAAATAATGTAAACTTTCGCGGCCGTGCCATGGTCTACAGGTTTTTGTGCCTGACGTTTCGTCTACTGCTGCTGTAGACATTATCAAAGGCTATGAGGTAACGGCCGTGAAGCTCGGGTTACTGCTCGATCTGTTGTCCTCGTTGTTCCCACTGCAGAAACTACAATGCTGATATATATTTGACTCTGATTTTATATTATTATATGTGCATGGCCTGGTTTCTCTTAATTGCATTACTGGGCCTTGTTTGTGTACAATCAAGGACAGGTAGCCAGATTTTAATACAGTTCATTGCCTCTTCTTTTATATTCAAAGCATCCCTATTTTTTTTAATTCCTGTTGCCTCTCTGTTTACCCTTGGATAGTAATTTTCAGTTTTTTTTCTAATAGCACTATATCTTCGAATGAGATAATGTTAGTATCTTCTTTGATGAGGGCATGTTCTGCTACAGCTGATTTGTTGATTTGTCAGAGACGACAATTTCTCTTGTGTTCGGAGATACGGGTACCATTACTTCTTTAAGTGATTCTAATGTAGACCGACTCGCAGCTACTAGGAATCCGATATATCCCAGGAGTTGCTGAAGGTTCTCTGGGGTCCTAAGGTGATCTTAGACATTCTCTGATAGTTTTCGTTGGCCTGAATATTGGTTTCACGTCTTGTTACTCTGAGATATTCAAAATCTGATCTATAACATTTTTAACATACTCACGCTCACCTATAATGTAAAACCGGTTTCAAATACCAGCATTGTTGTCTCTACGTTGGGAACAACGGTATCAACAACCCTAGCACCAACTCGAGCATTAGGATCGTTACCCCATCGTCTTTGATATTATCTACCGCAGAAGTAGACGAAATATCAGAGATGAAAATCTGTGTAATAACTTAAAATCAATTTAGAATTTGGAAGGTGAATAAAACATCGGTTTCTTCGGAGCGTCAATTGACAATGTTTCATTTCCATGGAGCTGGAAATGAAAAAGGCATTGTGTAACTTTTTATAAAGATATAAAAAGTGAGTTTGCGGTATTTGCCGTAATAAGAACTAACGATAATCAAAATAGTACATTTACAATAAATACATTATGATACCTGTTATGCTGGTTTCACTGAATTTATATTTTTAAAAACAAACTTTTTGAACACAATTGTTTACAATAAAGACATTAACAAATATTTGATTCGAAATTTCGACGAACTTGGATAGTCGCGAAGTTGTTCAAGAATGCGGCGTTCTCTTGTTCTCCCATATATATAGGATCAGGAACTGCTGATGTAGATGTGCGTTTCTTAGATTGTTCTAGAAAAACCTAGGAAATGTGCTGAATATGCTGAGTCATTTCCTGGGTAACTGTGTAGTGGCTGATGCAATATTTTATTATTGTGGTGCAATTGTTGGACAAAGTATGCATTGATTATTCTAATATAACAACTTCCCCCTTGAAAAGAAAGTTGATGCGGTGCTGCAACTTTCAGTCAAGCAAATGTTTTATTGGAACTTAATTCAATTTCTTATTCGATAGGATCCTCGAGGTGGATACTAGGTCTTCTTCCTGGAGCTGGGAGTAATTTTCGAAATGATGTAAAAGTTCTTCTGGATCTAGGTGGTTGATCATCATTGCTTGATGTCATGATACCAATTTTAATAGAACGTCTTTTTCTACATTCACAAAATATTTAAACCATGAAACATGTCGGCTTACGAATGGTTCATTTATAATTTGGTCCAACTGATCTGAATTTTGATCTAATTTATGTTGAGCAATATTGAGATTGTCTACATTCAATATGCTCAATTTCAAAGGTTTTGAATGTGGTAAGCTTTCTTTTTCTTGCAACATTGATATGGTATTGAAATTGGATGACTTTTATAACTTACATTTTGTTCATTTACAAGTATTTTTTAATACATTCTTGTGTTTCCAATTAAATCATTACAATCATCTTGGAGTTTCAAGATTGAATTAGTTTTTATAATTCGTGTTTCAACCTCACATTTTTGGCAATTTATTGTTACAGCTAAGGGGTCTGATAGTGCAATTAACCAAGTATTACTTTGGATTTCATAGACATTATAATCTTTTGCAAATAAAAGTGAAATTGAACACATTCTAGGAAGTTCTGAGCTTCACACATTACGTTTTGACATATATCAAGATTATAGTTTAAGTTTTCACATGAACTTAGATTTTCAAATGCAGCATACAGCATTGAATCATCATCTTTTGCTATAAATTTCTTATTTGATTGTAAAATATGATGTAACCCTGTTCGATTGTCCAAAATTGGAATGGGGTACAATCTATAAACAGTATATAATTCAGGTTCTACTATTTTTATGGTATTTTTAAAATAAAGACAAGTCTTGAGTCTGCTTGAAAAGCTTGTAATTCAATTATATCTTGATATTTTTATATTGAAGAAAGTCTTGTTGGTAAAGGTAAATTGTTCCTTTGTATTGTATGAGCAATTTCCTGAAGAGAAGAAACTAAATCATTTGGCTCTATAATTGATGTATGAATAATATGATGTCTAGCAAAAGTAATTGCATACAACATGTAATTTAGATAATCTTCTATAGCGTATAATATATCCATGCTTCAATTTGAATTATATCTTCATTAAATGCTTGTTCATCAACCTGTAATTGTCGTATTGTAGTATTAAATTCTTCAATTACAGAGGTTGTGACTGAAATTTGGTTTTTTAATAAATTTTCAATTTGGTGTTCGTCTTTATAAATCTTGTTGATACATTCATTAAAATATTCGCCGTCACTGGCATCAAGGTTGCCGGTTATAGCTTTCCATACGGAACCTATTCCATTTAAAAGACCTCTTTTATGTCGTTTATTATAATCATTCGCATCTATTTGCGTCTCTTGATGTTTTAATTCTACTGAATCAGCTACTTTATTCAAAAGGCTAATATATGTGCTTATCTCTGAACTGAAAGTCTTCATTCCTAAATTGTTTGTTTCAATAGGTGAATGAGATTACTTAAAATATTTCGATTATGGGCAATGGCTTGTTTTACAGGTGCCACATCTTTTACAACTAATAAAGTCCATTTTTCATTTGATATTTTCATGCTTCCTGTTTCATGATAATAAATACCTATCGTATTGTTCACGGGTGCTAGCATATACTGGGCGTTGATTATTGGGAAAATAATTGCCAGTAGAAGAATCATTCTTGATCTGAAACAAAACTGGGTTTTAGTCTATCGAAATTAACTTTTGTTGTTTTATTAGTTTCAGGATTTCTCAGTAAAGCTGAGTTTTTGAAAATTTCTATTACTTCAAAAGGTCCATTGAATTTATTTTCTGACATAATTTTGATTTGGGACTGTTTTACATATACTTTATCACCTATATTATAAGTTTTTGGTTCATGAACCATGGTGTAGATTACTATCAAATCTCATTTTAGCTTTTTCTTTCAGTGTTTGTGGGTGCTACTTTATAATAATATTCCATACGATTATTAAGATCTCTGACATACTTCGTCATAAGGTCAATTTGATTATATAAAGTTTCTGGGGGTCTACCGGATGAGTGTCCGAATATTAAATCATAAGGACTGAATTCGTGGGTTTTGTCAAGGCTGTTGTTATAACATATAACAGCATAGAGTATAATATAAAATGGATGATCTTTAGGGTTTTCTGTTAGATTTACTCTTATCATTTCCATTAGGGTGGCATGGAATCTTTCACGTGAACCGTTTGATTGTGGGCGGTCAACAATAGAAAATGTTAGTTTGATATTGTAGAATAAACATATGTCTTTCAATAAGTTATTATTAAATTCTTTTTCTGAATCGGCATGGATTCTTAGTGGTGTTCCATGATGTTGGAAATATAGTAGTAGGGTATTTACAACTGATTTTGCTGTTTTATCAGATATAGGGTAGGCTTGAGTGAATTTTGTAAGTTCATTTCGAATTGTAAGAAGATAATTCTTTGTTGGAATTTCTAAATTGTCAATGTTTATCCTTTCAGAAGCTGTTTTGGGAGTTTCCATAATTACTAACGCATTTTTTGACATACCTAACAGGCTTTAATAAAATTTTCAACATCTTTCGTTATACCATTCCAGTTATATTTTTGCTTTATTCTTCGTAAGGTTTCATTCATTCCACGGGGTAAATCGTTTTTACCGTAATGGAACTGGTCTAATATAATTGGAATCTGATCTTTGTCAGGGGTCGTTACAATGTTTTGACATATTTGGAATTTTATGTCACCTTTGTCGGATAAAATATAGGATAACATTTTTTGTATTGAGAATCCTACATTTGTTTCGAATTGGTATACTTTGTTTGGTATGAATAAATTTTGTTCTTTGTATAGGGAGCTAAACAAGTATTTTATTGCTCCGTCATGATCAAAAGGTAATGGGATCAAATAATATTTCCGATCTTTCACCGTTTTACTAGACACAACATTGATTTTGTTATAGAAGAAATCGGAATATTCTTCAAAAAATTTCTTCGAGTATTTTTTCATGAATTTCTGTAAGTTTATTTCTTTGCAGAAAAGAAATTATGACTTTATGTTTTTTGTCTAAGAATTGGTCATTAGTAAAAGTGAATTTGGAATAGTCAATAAGTGATTTTGACTCGTAGAGTCTTAATTCTTCAAAAATTGTTTCTTGACCTATTTCGGTTTCAGTATCTGAAATTTCTTCATTTTCATTTTTGTTTTAATTTTCAATTACTTTGTTTCCAATTGCGAAAATTTTTGAATGGAATTTTGGGCATTCTTTGAAATAATTCATTTCAATTCTAAACAAAGCGTCTGCGTTTTTGTGTATTTTTCCGGGTCTATAAATTACATTGAATTGATATTCTCCCAATTTCAATCGCCATCTGGCGCTTGATTGAGAATAACCACGTTAAAGGGCGATGGTCTACTATAAAATTGAATTTTCTTCCGTGAAGGTAAGGACGAAAATGTTCAACTGCCCATACCATAGCTAGCAATTCTATTTCGATGGTAGAGTATTTTGTTTCGGCTGGACATAATGTTCCGGATGCATAGGCAATGGATGAATCTTTTTCTATGGGTCCTTGAGATAATACTGCTCCTATTCCAAAGGAAGATGCGTCTGTTGTTAAAATAAAGGGTTCGTCAAAGTTAGGGTATATTAAAATTGGGGTTGACGTTAATGCTTTCTTTAATTCTGGAAATGCAAGGATACATTCATTTTAGAAATTAAATTTCACATCTTTTTGTAATGAGTGTGTCATTGGTTCAGATATTTTAGTAAAATTTGGGATAAATATTCGGTAAATGCCTGCTAATCCTAAAAATTGTTTAATTTCTTTAGCATTTTTAGGCTCTGGAAAGTCTATTATACAATTAACTATTTCTGGGTTTGGTTTTACGCCATCTTTGGTTATAAGGTCTCCTAGATATGCAATTTCTTGTCTTAAAAATTCTCATTTATCGGGTTGTATTTTAAAATTAGCTTTTCGTAAGCGTTTGAATACCAATTTTAAATTTTGCAAGTCAAATGTTGGGGAATGAATTATTATGTCGTCCATATAGACTAGACATATCTTTCGTTTCCAAATGCGGTTAATATGTGGTCTAAAATACGTTGAAGGGTGGAGGATGAGTTTTTCATTCCAAATGGCATCCTCAGGAATTCGTAAAGGCCATTTTTTACAGAAAATGCAGTTTTTTCTATGTCTTTAGGATCCATTTCAATTTGGTGGAATCCTGATGCTAAGTCAAGTGTTGTGAAGTATTGACACTTTCCTAACTGATCTAAAAGGTCTGAGATATTAGGTAGAGGATATTTATCGTCTACTGTAATTTCATTCAATTTTCTGTAATCAATTAGAATCGGGCTTATGCGAATAATTGCTCTTTGTTCATTGTTTGAACGGGACTGATAATCGCTTTGATGACTGCCGCAAATTTCTCGGTTATCGATGAGTCTATTAGTAACTTGTCTGTATACTGGGTTTGTCGTAATTGGGGATTGATATTGTCTGACTGACTGTTGGTAGTTCGTATACATGGGTTGTCTATAAGACGGTTGTCTAAAGACAGGGTATTGTGAAAATCCTCATAGAATTGTTCTTCTTCGTATTGATTCCTATTTTGAAAATAAAATCATAAAATTATTTTCCGAACTGTATTTGTCTTGATATTGATTATTATTATAGAAATATTCATTTTGATCATACTCATTATCGCAATTATAATTATTGTAATCGAGATAATGGGTTCTCATTGTTATTTGTGCGATTTTGGGTATTTTTCTGAATTACCGTTGGTCTATTCTGTGGTTGACCGTAATTCTGTTGTCTAAATTGATTTGTTTGATTAGGTTGTGTACGTTGTTGTACTTGGAAGTTTGGTCTTGGAATATATTATTGTTGGTAGTTTTGTGGTCTTTGAAAACCTTATTGAAAACTTTGGTTTTGGTTTCCAATGGATCTTATTGGATTTTGACTTTGCGTATAATTTCTTTGAAAATTATTTTGGGTATTTGTCTTGGCTTGTTTTGACATTGATTTGGAGGTAATCGTGTATTTAATCTTTGATTTTCGAAATATGAAAGCTGTATCTCACGTTTTATTCTGGTTGATGCTTTTAACATCGTTGTTGGATTACTCGCTCGTATAATGTGACCTAATTTGGGTTCTAATCCTGTCAATAAAGTATTTAATATCATTGATTCGATCAGTAATGATTGTGCTATTTTCTGTTCATCAGTCAAGTTTGAGGCTTGTATGCAAGATAACATTTTTGCATTATGACTTTGTAACCTAGAGAAGAATGTCGGTGCATTTACTCCATTTCCTTGTTTTATTCTCTGAAGATCTTGAATCAGTGACGTTAGATCTCGCGTATCACCAAAGTGAGAATTTAATAAACCTTTGATTTCTTGATAAGTTTCTGGGTATCTAGAATTTATCAATTGAGCAGCTTTTCCTTCCAATTAATTTCTGATGTGAATTGTAAATAAGGCTTTTTGTTGATCTACGACCATGCGTTCGGCATTATCGCAAGCATTTATAAAATTTCCTACCGAAATTGAATCACCATCATATTCGGGAACAATTGAAAATATTTCAGAAAGTTTGTAGGGTTCAATTGGATCATTATTTTCTGCCATTTTTAAATTTGTAATTCAAAATTTGAACGAGGGTTAATCAAAATTTCAACTTCAATTGTGATGATAATTCAAAGTGTACTCACGCTCTGCCTTATACTAGTTCCTTATGCTATTCTTCTTGTTTTTCTTTTTCATTGTGGCTTCTGGTTGTTTGGTGTGGCGGGATGAAGTCCTACTTCATGAGCTCTGGCTACAGCAAGATGAGCAGCGTTCGACGACTTACGCGTGTTTCCTGGAATGATTTCTTCACAACGGATGGGCAACGGTGACGACTTATGCGGGTTTCTTTTTGCTGAAGAGACCGTCCTGTCCACTGGGGTTGGTGCTTGTTCTTCTTCTTGTCGAAAGTCTGGAGACTACCGCTGTTTGGATATCAGCGTTTCTCAAGATCCGTATGACTGCGCCAATTTGTTATGTTGGTTTCACTGAATTTATATTTTTAAAAACAAACTTTATTGAACACAATTGTTGACAATAAAGACATTTAAAAATATTTGATTCAAGATTTCGACGAACTTGGATAGTCGCGAAGTTGTTCAAGAATGCGGCGTCCTTTTGTTCTCCCATATTCATTCTAGAAAATCCTTGGAAATGTGCTAAATATGCTGAGTCATTTCCTGGGTAACTGCGTAGTGGCTGATGCAATATTTTATTATTGTGGTGCAATCCTTGAACAAAGGATGCATTGATTATTCTTATATAACATAGCTATAGTTTATAGGCTATATCGTATACAGTGTGATATAAATAATCTGCAGATATATGATACAGACCGCAGCTAAAAAACCTGGGAACTAGCTTTGACATATTGTGTATCATGTTGCAGTATCCTTCACCACAGACGGCTCAAAACCAAAGAAAGCTCAGGATGTGAAGTGTACTCCAGATCACAAAGCATAAGGATTAGGTGAGGAATAGGAAAAATACCAGCGTGGTTCAAACAGAACTGGCTGGTATCTCAATGGTTGCAAAAGAAATAATCAGGAAAGGAATTTCTAGCAAACATAACAATCTGCACTGACAGCAAACGAGCCCTATTAGCCCTGAACAGACAACGTGTTACCTCAGGGCTAGTAATAGAGTGCCACCAAGATTAAGCCAAAGTCTCGGTAGATGATAACATCATTCTGAGGTGGGTTGAATAGCACGATAGGAGTCAAGGTAATTGCATTGCCGACTCTTTAGCCAAGGAAGCGACTAAGAATTTTAGGATCCAGTGGCACCTACGGCTTGATGACTTCGACAATTGCGGAACTAGCCAAATGTTATACCCATGCTCAATCCCTAAAGAGATAGGATGGAATCAAAGGATGCACTCTTGCCAGGATCACCCTGGGCGAACCTGGGAAGCTGGCGCCGAAGAAATATCTGGCGATGAAAAATCTACGCTTAACAGTAGGATTTCTGACTAGCCACTGCCAACTAAGGAAACACCTCCATAATATGGGGCTAGTGGACACACCTCTACGCAGGATGTATGAACAGGAAGATGAGACTGTCAGGCATGTCCTATGCGAGTGTCTGGAGTTATCGTCAATAAGAGAGTGTGTGTTCGGCGAGTCTTGGCCTACACCTGCCGATATAAAGGAGATGTCTCCCAGTGACCTGTCCACCTTTCTGTCCCCAGATTCTTCACCATTCAAATTTTCAACCCAATGAACTTTGACACTTGAACTTTCTTAGAATTATCGGCTACGGGTGAGGTGAGGTTTTTCATCAGCCCAAATATGAGTATTATGACGACTAAATGATCCCTTTTTGGTTAACTTAGCTCTATCACTCCATATATTTTCTTTTAGAAAATGTGGTTCTTCTTGACTTTCAATCAGCAACCATTCACAAAATTCGATCCGACGATGCAAATCCGTATCTCTCAGATGATGTACCAGATGGATGATATTTGAATGTTTTTCATATATGGTTTTTTTAAATGCAGTAACCGGTTCTGGGTTCAACTGGTAGGTTTTTCTCATAATATTTCAAAGACGCATTCAGATGAGTAGCTGAATGATAATAATAATATTATTTGGAACAAAATACATACAATGAGCGGTACACAAAATACTGGAAATGCATTGGAATAAATATATATCAAATCAATATACAGAAGAAATGAATCCTTGTGCGTGGGTATATAATTATTAAGTAAAATAAAATACATATCTATATGTATGATTCTACATTAAGTTAATGCAAGTAGTGTACACATGTAACTTATACATTTACACAATACAATTCAAAACTATAGATGGAACCAATTTAAGTAATCAACTAAATAAGTACATCATCTGAAATTATTTTCAAGAAGTGTATGAATTGACAAACGAGGTGTTTCAAATATATGTTCACAGACTAATATTTTGAATGAAACATGAAGTAGTGAACTATTGAATACAGTCGGGCCCAGAAACTCAAACGACATGGACTCAACGAACTTTTGTCCTATGTCCTATAGAATTTGCAACAAGAGTTGTTATATACCGGTTTTAATTTCTCGTTGTATACATATGTGTTATTTTGTTGAGTTCACTTTTTTCTTTGCATTGTTTGAGTAGCAGAGATTTATAAGTTGTCTAGCATTCAGAATATTCGATTGTTTGTATAGTGCTCCGGTTGCATATCTTATGTTTTTTTTAACATCAATTTAAGGAATCTTCTTTGAATGACTCAAGTGGATATAGATACGTTTTTGAGACTCATCCCCAACCCGCCATGCAATATGTTATGTGACTTTACAGCAGGCTATAATATATAGTTTTGTCATGGCTGAGGTCTAATATGTTCTGAAAGAAGCGTAATTTTTGTGTATAAAATACACCTTAATTTTCTTACGATGTAATCAACCTGGTGATTCCATCTTATATGAGAGTCTATTATGTCTCTCAGATATTTAGGTAAGTTAGTCTTGATTTGCAGATGATTGTGGACTGTCAAGGAATTGAAATCTGTGAGGAAAGACTGGTAGCTACAAAATGGTACAAAACAGTTTTTCCGATATTAAAGGTTAATTGTCTGCAATCAATTCAATTTTTCATTACCTCTAGATCTTTTTCCGCCTTTTCTTTAGCTTCTTGCCAACTTTTTTCCATATGAAATATCGCAATATCATATGCGAAACTGATAATTCTTCCTGAGTTGTTCATCTGGAAAAGTCCATCAACATATACACAAAACAAAATTGGGCATAGTACTGTCCACGACTATCCATTCCCAGATCTTTATTACCCATCTGAGGGATATTTTGCTCACGGATTCATTAAATATACTCATACAAATGACAACATCAATGAATCAACAACTACCTTCATTTGTACCCATAGCATTCCTATTGTATTTAATGGTAAAGTTCTTATAGATACCCGATGAAATGAGTCGTGTTGTGAATAACAATTCGATGACGAGAGTTAAATGCCTGGAAGTTTCTTCGAACATATTTTCAAAAAAATTTTATATTTTGTGTTTTTGAATTTTCGCTCTTTCATGAAACATTAAAAATAAAACTTTTCAAATCATTATGTATTCATCTGAAATCCTGTATTCAATAAAAACTATGACGACAAATTGTTAGCTTCAATAAATTGTGTCTAACGTTCGAAATGAAGAGCTCGTGAACGGTTATTTTTCTATATGTTTTTGGAATGTTTCATGGAAATAGGACAAAATCATGTCGAAGTTTCGAAACTATTCTAAAATAGAGGGTGTTCCATTTGGCCCATTATTTTATCTTCAGGATTAGTCATCGATTCCGAATACCTTGTTCAACATTTTGAAAATGTTACTACTACAAGACGATGAAATGAAGTATATTGATGAATCAATAATATTTTATTTATGTACCTTATCAAACTTTTGAATTTTATGGGTAAACCAATGAACATCTAGAGGACGGTTCATTTTTGGTATGAGGTGTATTACATAAACTCACATTAGAATTATGCCATGTGTTGATGAATGTGAAAATAAACAGGGTGTTATTTTCAAATTAAGGAAGTTGGTACCAACTTCCGGTATAACTGGAAGTGTTGAAAAACTATTATTTTCATTCGATAAAGCATATTAGAAAATCCAATTTTCAGGATATGCTTCTTATATAAAAATACGGCTAACTCAAGGTAATTGTGCTATATCGTGTTTGTCAAATTTGTTTGTCAATTCATAGACTTTTTGATAACTGAAGATGCATTCAATTGTAAATTGTTATTTTCATCAACAGTCTGAACTATCAAAATATATTGTGAAATCCTAATGTGACCTTACGATGGAAGTGAGTAAGACAAGAAAAATTATCAATACTACACGTGGTGAGAAAAATAAGCTTGAAATGAACAATACCCAGCAGCTTGTACTCGAAGAAAGATATTGAAAGCGGTATAATTGCAACAAAATGATTCGTAAAACACGTTGTACGACATCAAGTTTCACGAATATCAGTAAACAACTTATGTAATTCAAATTTTCTTTGACGTCAGCCGAAAGAAGTTCTAGCGACAAGAACGAGAACTGTTGTTCATTATTGTCTTTTTGTAAATTCTGTAACAGAGACGGAATTTCGTTTCTGAATCGTTATCGACTTCAGTCAGAGAGTTGTTGTTGCATAGAATATTTATATTGGAAAAAAGTATAATACCATTCATGTATCTACATTTCGAAGTTGAATAGAATTTTGCTCTTTCTGTACAATTATCAACCTTTTCGATTGTTTGAGGCTAAACAGAATACTCAAAATAATGGGAATTTTTTTTCTTCAACCAATGACTTTTTTTCAATACTACTTAAACTTTGAGATCGATCAGCCGTGTATTGTTCAGAAAAATGAACATCGATATTTTCCGATTCCGAAGAGGGAGCCTGAAAATCAGCTACCAAGCCCAAGGAAGACAGCAGGCGCTCAAATGAGGGTTACAAATAAGCCAGCACACGCGCGTGTCGAAAAAAAATATTTCTTTCAAATGAAGAAATACATGTAAAGTGAGTTCGAATTATATCAAGGAGGTTAAGTACAGCACCATCTACCTGCGAATAGATCAAGCAATACGGTCGATGATTCTGTCAAATACAGATCCCGAGCTAACATACATACATTCATGCATACATACAGTTGAAGCTAATAAAAGCGTGTTGATTAAAAAGAAATGAGTTTGTTGAAATTCGAAGTATTGATCAGAAGAGTTATGTGCAGCAGCTGAAACGTCCATAATCGAAGAACAAAGTGAGAAAATACTTTTCAATGAAGGCATTGATTATATTCTCACAATGTAGGGGGCCATAGCTGTCAAATAATTGAATGAAATGCAACACACCTGTTTCATAGCAAAAGCTTCGGAGAACAAGATACTGAAGTGTTAACAGATATAAATCATGTTGACAATGTGATCCTGAATTATGGAACCAGTGAGTAGGACCTCAATAGGGATTGGAGTTAATTATTGTTGGATCATTTGCAATCACAGTAGTATTATATTACCTTGCAAACGAAGGCACAGGTATTTACACTGATTAACTTCGAAATATGTCGAGTTCCTTACATGCCGGTTTCATCA